GGGGGGGGGGGGGGGGGGGGGGGGGGGGTTCAGACGGAGTGGATAATTTTTTGCGAGACAGTGTTGGGGGTGATTGGTCTGAGAACAGTGGGTTTTCGTTTTGAAAAATGTCATTCTTAGATCTTTAATAGACGGAATTTTTTTTAAATAATTTTGGGGAGGATTTTTTGATCAATCATTGAAGGATTTGATTTTGCTTTTTGAAACTTATCAACAATTTAAATTGATGGAATTCAATTTGGAAAAATTTAGTTTGTCAAGATGTTATATTTTTCATTATTCAAATACAGAATGACATTTGGCTCGTCAATCACTTACCTTCGACTGTATTTCATTCAATTTTTCTTTTTTAAATTATTTGTCTTCTCTATTTAATATTTAAACCTTACGTCTAGTGATAAAGATTTTTTAAAGTATTGGGGATGATTTCTCTGACAAATGTAATAAAAGTTAAGCTGCAAAAATGAATGAATTAAAAATTTTGTAAAAAAAATTGATAAGATAAAGAAATTGACTAACAAAAGAAATATAATTGAAATAAATCGGACGATGCTAAAGACATAAAATACCAGAGCGATCGCAATCTCATCGAATACTAGGCACTTTTTTAGTGTTTACAAACGTATTGTCTCTAAAAAAATTCATTAAAATTATTCATATACTTTATTTATAGTTAAATTTCTCACCGAATCTTCCCCAAAACTGTTTCAGAAAAATTACAATGAAATTGTTTTATTTTTTTTTTAATCGAGGGTTCAAGAATTCCGAAGAATGACTTCCATCAAATTTTGATCTCACAGTTGTTGTTTTTATTATTTTTTTGCAATGTTTATTTTCAATTATAGTCCAAATATACATGTTTACATAATAAATTATATAAAAATGGTATAATTTTGACAAAAAAAATGAATAAATGTGTGACAAAGTTATTTACATTGGTGGATTTAATTCCGTTTGTTCAGTCAGTTGTATATTTTCTTCTTTTTCGTAAGGAGCATTTATAGTTATTTCACTCATTCTTCCTTCTCAACAAAAAAAAAATAGGAGAAGCAGAGAATTGTGTAAAAATTCCTGAATTTGTTGATTAAACCGTGACATAAAACATTTCTAAAACAGTTGCGGGAACGAGAGAGTGCCGAGACCCAGTGACAGATGACATAGCAGTGTAAAAATTTGTTTTCATCCTAATTATCAACTAAAAATTCTTAATTTTACCTAACTAGGTTTATTCACACGTCATTGGACCGTCAAATTAATTCCCCCTAGTTCATCCCAGAGACGAAAGAAATTGAGTGGGAAAATTGTATCGCAAAGTGGAAAAATAAAATCACTTCGATATTTTCTCCCATATTTTCCCCTCAAAATCTTTCCCTCCGAAAAATTCTTAACAAAACAAATAATAATAATAAAAACCTAATACTCAAAAAAAATCCCAAACACTTTCTCTACATATCTCAATCCAGTATGTACTGGTGTTCCTGCGCAATTCCTTCCACGATAAGAGGAAACATTAAGTAGCTCTCCCCCACGTGTTTAAAATAAATTCAATCAATTAATTTTTCTACTTAAAAACACGACTGAAGAACGAAGAAAACAAAAATGCAGTAAAAATCCCGAGAAGACGACCAGGTATCGTGCACTCTCATGTTAAACACGCGCTATTAATTCACATTTGAGTAAATTAAAATAATTACGTATTTGACTCTTCACTTCTTTTCGTCTTTCCCTGGAGATAAAGTAGGTGGGGGNGGGGGGGGGGGGGGGGGGGGGGGGGGGGGGGGGGGGGGGGGGGGGGGGGGGGGGGGGGGGGGGTGAGAGACACAGGCGAGGGGTTGTCCAAGTATTTTTTGGGGAGAAATGGGAAATGACCAGAATGACTTACAGCATTGCTATTGTTACTTTTCATTTCAAATGTTAAATGTTATCAGACAGAGCTATAATAAATTCAGCCTTCGTGTCGTCCAGTCTAAACAGAATATTTTCATTTTCCTCATGCTTTCACGTGCCTTGAGATATTTTTATGAAATCTATTAACTATTGGGCACCTAGGTAATGAATAATACAAAATGGCCCTTTTTTTCATATCTTCGTGGTGTTTTTCAGGCGTTTTTAATTTTCTTTTCGCTCATTTGTGTTTTTTTTCCTCAATTCTTTTGTAAGAATCGTTACAAAGACTCTCTTTAACTTTTTATATTCATTCAGTTATTGTTTTTATCATTTTCATTTAGTTAACTTTTGTTTCACTCTTTCGACTTTCGTGTGCAAAAGTACGAAAATTTGTTCATCTCCCTAAAATGTTTATTCATTTAGTTTTATTTAAGATTGTTTTTTTTTTCTCTCGTTTTCTTTCATTTTCTCGAGGGGGAAGGGCTCACGTAGACGTTCATCTATCTCTCGTATCCTCGTATGCTCTTATCTAAAAAATATTAAACCTATTGCTTCATAAGAAACGATTAATTATGACTATTAACTTTCATTATTTGCTACATTAAACAGTAGAAGCGTAGTATGTTGTTTTTTTTTCAATCCATTGTCAGGATTTCTTTTTGCTTTTTCGTTAATGTTATTTTCACAGTCAAAGTAGATTTTTTTTTCGTCTCAATTATTTTGTTCCTATGAAATTATATTTCAACAACGATCACACGTTTTTTTGTTATTCACTTTTATTTAGTTATTGTTATTGCTTTTTTATTCCGTTTTTATTCTTTTATATTCTACTTATTATTAATTATACCACGTAAATTCGTGAAAAATGTAAGTGGTATTTTATGAGGTTTTTTTATTATTATTTTTTTCTCTAGTTGAAGAAAATTTTCATGAGAAAACGATCGCTTGGCATCGGCTCTGAGGGGATATTAAAGTAATTTTAAAAAAGAGGTGATTAAAAAAAAAGAGAATGGAAAATAATTGTTAAAGCTTAGAAGCCAATCGTGGGATTGTTCGGGTGGTTTCGGGGGCAGGACAGAGGTGGTAATTTTTTTATTTTCGTATTTTAGAATTGTGTTGAATATTTAAATATTTATATTTGAGGTTGAGATAAAATTTAACGAAAAAGAGTAAATTTTAAATGAATAGTAAGGTGGAAAAATAAATTGAGGTCAATACTGCTCCTCTTGTTAATCATTAAATTATTCCCATTATTAATGATTTCTCAATTGACTCATCAATTAAAATTTGCGAGGAAACTTGTAAAAGAGGGAAAGTTCTTGGTGAAGACCAAATTGCAACAGAAAAAACTCCCAGAAAAGTTTTAAAAATTATAATGAATCAATTTTCAAATATGCAACACAATCTTCTTATAAAAATGACAATCTATCAATAAAATTACTAATTATCAGTTCATTATGGCAATTGAAGTACTCTAAATTTCTCTGAATTATCAGAACAACAATTTGGTTAAAAAATCAGATATTACTATTTCTATTTCTCTGAATTGTTCTCCTTCATTCTCAATTGATTATTTAACTAACACTGGCTAATGGTAACGTGCAAAGGTTTACCAGACGGATTAAGACAGTCAGAAATATTCGAGAGACGAAGGGAAATAGAGAAGATGAAGAGAAGAAGATGAAGATTAACTCAGAAACTTGAGTTTTGTTTTTCAAAGTAAAAAAATTCAAAACGATAAATCTGGTAAACCCGAAGAATACACGACGTTGTCTGTTCAATATTTCATTTAAAATAACTTTTTTTTCCATATTCTCTAATGCTTTTATTCGTTTTCAATGGAAGGCAGTGGGGGGTGGAGCGACTCGCTCACCTGCTGTATCAGCTGAGGCAGAAGCTGGTGTTGGTCCTGCTGATGCAGAATTACGCACTGCTCTTCTCCTTTCTTCCTCGTCTCTCAGTGCCGCTTGCTCACGTACTTGTCTCAGTCTGTGCTCCTCTTCCATCTTCAGCCTTAAATTCAATTTGAATAATTAATCAACTGTTCTTAATCATTTTGATTCATTGAAATTCAGGTGGAGAAACGATTACTTTACAAATACTAAAGCCATCTCTGATTCAAACTCATTCATTTGGCAATTAGAATGTTCTTTTCTTCATTCAAATTACTGAAATTATGACAAATCTGTCATTAATTTTGTGACAATTATGAGAATTTACGGTTGATGAAAAATTCCTAAACAATTTTGAATCTTTTATCGATCGATTGTTGGATATTTGGAGAAAAGTGTGTGGATTGAATGAGCCATTTTGTATTTGAAATAATATCACATTTTTCTTAAGAATATTCGAGTACTTTGGCCATTTTTTCTCCAGTGAAATGCTTTCCGGGCATTTTACTATGATTTTTTTATTTAAACTTTGTAGGTCTGAAATTGAATCTCAATATGAGTAGATCCACGCAAAATCAGTAGGCCAAATAAGTCAATGCTAGAAATTTTTGTTCCAATATTGATAATTGAGAGAGTTAGAATTTTTTTTAAATGGTTCGTTTTTGTCAAAATTTTTTTTTTTTAAATTGGCCTCAATAATTCTGCGGGGTTTATTAAATAGCCCTGTGGCACGCTCAAAGATCATATAAAACCCTTCAAAATGAGGTGTCATACATAGCATTATCTTCAGTTTTACGGGGTTCATACGAGAAAATGTTTGCATTTTCAATCGTTAAATCCTAAAAAACCCAATTTTTTAAAAGTGAAATTTTGTCCAAAAATTGTGAATGAAATGAAAGGAGTTTTGGCGCCAATTGGAGTTTGTCTTTCAGCGTAGTGCGACGGTTATTATTTTTTTCCGTGGAACAAGTCGTGAAAATGACTGAAAATCGTTATTGTTCATGCAATTATCCCCCAAATGAGTGAATATTCATGCGGTTGGGCTACAAGAATTGTCGTTATTCCTTAGGTGAGCGGTGCAGGCACTACCTCCACTACGCGGTGTGATAAAATACACTATTTATTGTCTATAATACGGTTGACTAATTTTTCCAACTGTCCCATAATCCACATCTTGAGTTAATTTAGTAACGTGGAAATGAACGACAACATAAACTATTCATTGTACACACAGTTTCATTTCACTCATTTTTATCGATTAATTGTGGAGAATGTATCCATGTGATAATTTTTAGTGATGAATTGGCCAGTAACATCACAATACTGTTCTAGATAGAGGTGTTACCAATTTATAAAGATAAAACATTTTTAATTCACGATGAATCTTACCTTTCGTGCATAACAGGGGACATGAGGCCAAGTGATGCCGGTGGTAACATTTCGGGACTATATCTGAGCCCATAGAGTGGATAGGTGGGCATTCCCGGAAATAAAGGCGGCCTCAGCATTCCAACCCTCTCCAGATACAACTGTTCCTCTAATCTGCAAAACAATAACGATATAATTGGATTAGAAGGGGTTTTTATTCCACTCTTCCATGGAGATTTTCAATGTGAGGAGAACAGACAAGAGACTTTTCAATGGAGAATCACGTATAAATCCATTTTGCCTCGGTAACTCGAGTCATGAGAACGTTGGATTGCGCAGTGAAATGGAATAAGGAGATTCGTTCACTCGAGAGTCTGGAGAGACAGAAGCTTTGAAATCTTCTCAGTGGATTAAAATTCTTGACGGAAAACTTTGTGTAACGATTCGTTCATCTTCTTGAATTATTGAGATACAAGAGAAAAAGAAGTCGAGATCACGAATCGATTTTTTACAAATTGGAAATATTAAATAACTTCGAAGTACTTAATTAAATTATTTCACTGACATTTTTTTTAGAAACTCAGTAAAATCGTCAAAATTTTGTCAGTTACTGAGATAAATGCACAATTAACAAGCAACTGAACTGATAATGGAATTTTTTAATTAAAGAACGTAATGAGAGTGCACCTGTGGTACTATTTTTATCAAAATTTTTATAATTTAATATCCTTTATTTCTTTTTAGCAATGGATAAAATACTGTTCAAAATATTTCTGTCTCTGTGTAACGATTTGTTTATCTTCTCAAGTTATTGAGATACAAGAGAAGGCGGCGAGATAAAAAATCGATTTTTCACAAATTGGGAATATTAAATTAATTTGAAGCACTCAATTAAATTATTTCATTGGTATTTTTTTAGAATTTCAGCAAAATCGTCAAAATTTTGTCAGAACCTCTTTATATTTCTTCCAGAAATCACTCGTTGTTGCGATAAATGTACAATTAACAAAGGATTAATAACAAAAATCGTTAAAAAATGATTATGAAGAATTGTGCATTCTTCTCTCTGGAAAAAATATGATAGACCATCACCAGAATTTCCTTTCGAAACCAAACTCTGTATCATTTCACCCCCCAATTATCTCATGTCTCATGATGAAAAAAATAAGATGAGTTAATTCTTTACATTTTGTCCCTTCACTATTCAAAAATGATTTGATTAAATTTCCAATACACTTTTTGAAAATTTCCATCACACTATAGTTCCACTGAAATGTCAAGTAATTTCATAATTAAAAATTCTACATTTCATGAAAAAAAATCAATGGAAACAGTAAGTTTCAGTGCAATTATTCACTTAGAAAATGTTTAGAAACCAGGAAAATTCATCTAAAAATATTGTTAAATTTTCAATTAATTTAGTCAACTGTCCCTGTTAATTAAACGTCAGCTGTCCATGAAATTTCAATTTCTCTCTCAAAGTGTCCACTACATTCTTCTACCGGATTCAAAACAATAAAATTAGAATACAGTGACCTCCAGTTTTAATGAAAAACCTAATTGAATTGTTAAGCAGTTGAGAGTGCTCACCTATAAGCGTGCTGGAGGTGTGGCGGTGGATAGAGGCCATGGTGATAAGGACTGTAAGCCGCTGGATCTAGTGCAAATGCCGGGGGTGGCTGGGTCGGATGGTGCTCCGGCCGATACGGTTGGAAACCAGAGCGGGCCAGTAATTCCGATGCTGCTGATGTTACAATGTGCTTGCTATTCTCCGGTGCTCTTGCTGTTGTATACATTGATGGTATTTCCTCGGGTCTTCTCTCATGCGTAGAACGCTCCTGAAAAGATAATTCAATTCATTCTTTACTATTTTTCACTATTGCTTCCAGAAGAAACTTTCACTACAAAAACCAGGTGCCTGACAGCTATCTGAATTTAAGATGTCAGATGGTAAAAAACGTCTGAATCTTCAAAAGTGTCTGAAAATCTGACTAATGTCTGAAAATTTCAACCACCGTTTCTGTCTGAAAATGATGGTAGACATTTTTTGTGTCTGAAAAATTTCAGGTATTTATTTTCAGATATTTTCTGTGTCTGAAATTCAGTTATTTATGAGCGATACAAACATTTCACTATTAAGATATCTCACCTGATTCGACGGCAAAGTTCATTCAAACATTCATTTTTAAGATATTTCTCATGTCTGAAAAGTTGACTCATCCACTGCAAAAACTAGGTATCTGATAACCATCTGAATTTAAGATGGCAGATGGCAAAAAACGTTTGAATCTTTAAAAGTGTCTGAAAATCCAACTGATGTCTGAAAATTTCAAACACCGCTTGTGTCTGAAACTGATGTCTGTATCTAAATTTCAGACATCTTGGTGTCTGAAATTGAAATATCTCCATTGATTCAGACACATTTTAATGTCTGAAAAGTGTCTACAAAATCGTCCCAAAAGTGTTTGGAAAATGTCTACAAAAGTGTCTGAAATTCAGACATTAATTTTCGCAGTGTTGTCATCGTTCAAATTTAAGTTTCCAATTTTTTATGTTAGGGTAACTACATATGGCCTAAACAGTCCGAAAGGGCAATTTTTAAACCTCGTCCGCACGTGTGTGCGTATATGTGCGACATTCCCTAATAGAATAAGGGGATTTGAATTTTCTTTTCGTCGTTCAGGCCGTAAGGCAGCAATTCACGGATGCGCAGCGTCTGACAGCCGTTATGACAAAAAATGTTGTTTGTCATACGGCCTAAAAACACTTTTCTACTATCGAGTTAAAAAGTATAGACCCCTGGCGCTGCTAGTCCATACGCAGTACCCCCTTCCGGTGTGCATTAAAAGGGCGGAAGAAGATCCCTCTGTTTTCTCATTTTGTTTGGCTTGAAGAAACCAAATTTGTCAGTTTTTTTTATCTGAGACTGTGCATCCAAAAGTTATTGACAATTCAATTGTTTAAACCGAGTTTGCTTGAAACCTATTAGAGATACAGGAAAATAGTTCCAACAAAAGATGTTCCTTTTGAATTCGAAAATTCATCGATAAAATGAAAATAGAAAATAAAATTTTCTCGTCCCATCAATCACGAATATAAACCAAGAATCAATTCTCCTCGCATCCGTATTATTCTCTGTGGTAAAACAAGTTTGAAGGAAAGTGGAACGCTAAGAATTATGCATCCGGAGGGTTGTTGGCCCGAGGGGTGGATGAAGAAAAAAAACAAAGGGAGAGAGAAGAAAGAGGAAGAGGTCACTTGGATCCAAAGTTTCTCAAAGACCTCACAAAGGGATACAAATGGGGACGTGCCTACCCAATCTTTTCGAAATGAAAAAGGTATCCGGTCTTGTAAAACGGAAAAATTGTAGTTCACTCGAGATAATCGAAAGATCAAAGAGCACGAGTGCTCGGGGAAGTATGGAATATCGATCATTCTTTTTTAATTTTTTTTATCTTGCATTTTTATGCCAAGAATGGAAATTCAATGGAGAGAGAGAAAGAGATGTACTTTGGTTTTATTATATGTTCATTGAGAGAACAAAAAACATGTTCTCAGGCAAGTGTCGTTTCGATAAAAAAAATTTTACTCATGGGAATCATAATAATACCACTCCCATTTTAATCATGGGATTAATTATAATAGTAAAAATAATGGTGAAAAAATCGACAGATTTTCAATTATTTATGAATTTTTCGGGTGAAGAACGAAACAACACTGACAAAATATAAAACATGAACACACGGAGAGAAATATTCAGTAAAAATTACGGAACAATTCGCGTAATTCACAAGGGGGAATCGTTTTCCGGCAATTTTTATAGGAATGGAAGAGAAGAAATGTGAAACGTTCAGTGAATTTTCAGGTTCATCACGGAACAAAGTACGAAATTGTCACGTAATTTTTCCCGAAGAAGTAAACGTGTTGAACGTTCAACAATTTTTATGAAGCTAGTGAGTTATTTCTACGTTCCGTTCCGTAAAATTACCCAATCGTTGGGGAAAAATTACGGAATGACTTGTCCCCACAGCAGTGAATCATCAGACGGGTGGTTAATTTTTACGGAAAAAATCGTAGAATTTACGTGGCGATCCGTACAATTTCAGTTCCGACTCACACTTTTTATTGAATTTTACTTCGCTCGTGTATTACATTTCGAAACGTAATTTTTACGTTTTTTTCTGGTAATTTTTATTGAATTTTTCCCTCCGTGCAGTGAAAAATAATTTTTTATTGTTTCCGTGAATCAACCATTCCGTGAATACTTTCCAATTTACCGTCGACACTATCCCTGAGAAATTTTCGAGTCAAGCCCCCCCCCCATCTACCGCAAAACCCGTTCGGCCCCCAAGAACAATGCGGAAGTGCCTAAAATTGATTCCCAAAACGTTTTAAGAGAAAAAAAATGTCAGAACTGGAATCACGTTACGGGACATTCTGGTGAATTTTTTTTTGTCATCTCGGTGGGACCTCGATGGAGTGAAACACGATAAAGGTCATGTGAAACTCACCTTGGCGGGTGAGGGTCCGCGTACAAGAGGTGGTGGTGGTCGATTCTTAGGACTCGCACGAGGCTCCTCATCCTGAGGAGCCGGTCCTGCCTGCTTGGCAAGGTTCCTGAGTGCAGCGGCAAAACTTCTACTGTTCTGTTGTCCACCTGGTCCTGGTCCTGGTCCCGGTGTGTGACCCTGCGGTAATACACCGGTATTTGGACGGTGGGATTTGCCGATTGTCGTTGGTTGGGCTTTCGTGTTTGCCGGTTGAAGACCTGTAACATTCAGGAAACGAAAAAAAAGTTATTTTCGTTTTTATGATGATTTTTGCTATCGAGTGGAAGCTTTTTTATTTTATAGTAAACATTGCGATCCGTAAATGACAATTTTCAGAGCGTGTGATCAAGTTTTCTTTAATTTTTCGTTAATTAATCGAGGGAATTTCATCATTTGTTTTTGAACGGAAGCATTATATTCGTCGAATGCGAAATTTTTTATTTTTTGTGAGAGGATAACTAATTCTGTAGACTAGTCTAGTCTAGTTTAAGTGACCAATCGTTATGCGACGATAACTGAAAAATTAATTGTTTAAATGAATTCAATTGTAATTTAAAATAGTCTTCTCAATTCCATCTTGACCGCGTTTGATCATGAGATTGATTGCATCATTTGTTGTTGAAAAAAATCATTCTGAAACCATTATTCAGGGAGAGGTAAAACATTTTAACGTTGCGCCAATATTGGGTGCCAACGTTGAACAAATATATATGTACAACAAAATTGTAAAATACAAAAAAAGATAAATAATAAATAAATGAATATATCTTGTGATGAGAAATATTATTCCATTCTTCTTCTCACCAAATGAAAATTATAACGATTGATGGTTTGAAATATTCAAGAAAATTGCAGTGTTCCTGTGCAAATGTATTGTCACAAGAAATCACAACAAAATCAGAAAAACGATTCGCCTGAATAAGATCTCTGAGGAATCCAGAATCTGCCAGCGCACTTCCTCCCAAAAATTCGCATACGTGCATTTCTTCCGTACTGTTTCGATTCATTTTCCATTTTTTTGTGGAAATTCACTCATTTCTAATTGATACGTATAACTTATTTTCGAAAATATAGGTTGGCCAATGGACTTCAAAATGCATTTTCTCCTGTATTTTTTTTAATTAAAGAACGAAAATTTTTGGTCATATTTAAAAAACTATTTAGAAAAAAAGGAATTAGTCGAATAGTGAGAGAAAATGAGGAATGCCCTTTAGTCAGTGAAAATAGTCAGCTTCACATAACTATTTTCAACAGTTCTTCAGTGAATTCAATTGTTCACTCATTCTAATTGATACTCATAAGTTATTATGGAAAATATAATCGATTCATTGAAAATAACGACTTTTTTTAGGTTGACCAATGGACTTCAAAATGCATTTTCTCCCGTATTTTTCACAATTAAAGAACGAAAATTTGTGACCATATTTAAAAAACTATTTCGAAAAAAAATACGTTAAGGAATTTCCCAAAGTTGATTTTTCGATTAGAAAAAAAATCGAATCTCTAATTTTTAGGGATCGGAGACGAATTTGCCCTACAAAATCGGATTGCTGTGGAAAAATCACGTGGAAAATAGTGTTTTTGAAATTTTTTTTACCGAGATGAAACTCCCCTTAAACCGTTTTACCACTTCGCTACTGAATTAATACTTCAAATATCTCTCAACACCTCTCTCCCCGTTCCAATCAAAGAAATCTCTCCCCCCCCCCCCCCCTCAAACCGGTTGAAACCGGCCAAGAAAACGAAATGATCTCTAATTACATTTTCATTCCACTCAGTAAATTAGTCAAACTCCGTATAAGAAGCCACTCCAAAGTGAAAAAAAAAACTCCACGAGTCCGTAAACAACTCGATGACACTTTCCACTTTATTATCTCAAGAGTCATAAAAAACTCGTGAGCAAAAGTAAAGGGGAATATGTTGAATCTGTACAGTGAAAAATACTCAGCGTGAAATTGGTAATTTACTGGAGTTTAGGAAAAAAAAATCCGGGATTATGAGGGAGCAGAGTAGGCTCCCGAGGATACTCAGCAGATAAGAAAGACAAAGGATTATCAGGTATCTAGGTGGGGGAAATGCAACTCCTCATTTCCCCTGTTATCCCTTTCAATAGAGAAATTCACGTTTCCGAGGGAATCATCAAGAAGTCATCAAGATTATTTGATTTATCAGTACTCGAGATTTTTAATGAGGGAAGGAATAGCACCAGTAGTTTCAAGTGAACTTTATTATCTGAAATATATAATTGCCGTCCTCTTTAAGGTTTTTTGTCAATTAGTATTTTCCTAAAGAGGAAAATACTAATTGATAAACATCAGTGGACTCAGGTTGACTTTCATGTCAGAGGGTTAATGAATGAACCAATATTTAAAATGGTGATTCACGTAAAAAACTAATTGAAATATGAAAATTTCAGCATACTGTTAGAAAAAAAATGAAATTTCATGGACAGCTGACTGCTATTTTTGAGGACAGTGACCCTGATGCGATTTAGAGGGGAAAAATCATGAAATTTCACTGAAAAATCGGTAAAATTCCAAAATTTTAAGCAGCACAAAGACAAGAATTCCTCAATTTATTTGAATTTCCAATCTAATATGAATATTCAGTGCCAAACTACATTGAATTTCCAATGAAATCTGAGGTTTCTTGATTTTTTTCCCCTAAATCGCATTCAGTGTCACTGTCGTGAAAATTCAAGAATATTCGTTTTTAGGGAAAAATAGAACGGAAATTTACAGTTCTATTTGATTTTTCCACGAAATTCTGAATTTTCTGTGACGAGATTTCCTGAAATTTCAGTGGAACTTGAACACGATAAAAATTTCCGGAATTTGGCGCGGAAAATTCAGACGAAAATTTTCAACAGTGTATTCGTCAAATTCGAAATTTCCATTATATTGTGACAAGGTAACTAATTTTGATCTCAGAAAGCTCGAATAGGCGATTTTTAGACCATGCCCGGATTTATGCATATATGTATGTATTGTAGCGTTTCCTCCCTTCAAATTCGAATATGTAACAGAAGACAAGGAACAGAAGAAGGATGTCGCGAGGTGACGATCGTCTTGGAGGACAGACTTCACTTGATACTCAAGCCATTTTCTGTCAACAACTCTTTGTCAAATAAATCGCCCTTTTCTTTTGAATCTTGGTTCTGATTTCCCATTAAATAACAGTATGTATGTGTGTGTGTATGTGTGTATGGGACTGAAAGAATAATTGTTGTAATGAATCCAATTGTGCTTTACTATTTTTTCCCCAATGCCATTGACCGAATTCGATTATGAGATTGATTGTATCATCTGTTGTTCGAAAAATTAATTTTGAAATCAATATTCCGGAAAAGATGAAAATTTTTAACGTTGCGATGTTGTGCAATACTAAACTCAATAAATCATTGAACTTAATTTAAAATACGTCGCCATAGAAATTCCATTCGGCAGCAAATTGCTAATTTATTAGTAAAAAGATATCGACTGTGCTGTGACGAAAGCAATTTCCCACTCGTTATCATGTGAAATAGATAATTTCCTTTTTTTTCAAACATTTCATTATGAAAGAAAATTTTCTTGTTTCATCTTTGTTGAAATAGTCAAATAGTGAGAGAAAATGGGAAATGCTCTTTAGTCAGTGAAAATAATCAGCTTCACATAACTATTTTCAACAGTTCTTCATCATGATTCACTCCTCAGAATCCCATTTCCAGTCGATTTCCATGAATTAGTGCTCTTGATGATCATAACAATTTACCACTAAATCGCGAAGTTGAAAATGGCAATAAATGAAAGACGCAAAATGGAGACATATGCGAATTAATCGAGGGAATTTATATAAAAAATGGGAGGGAGGGGGAGGGGAAGAGACGGAGGCTTCCAATGGGGGTTTGGCCTTTCCCTCGTTGGGAGTACAGAAGTGATTCGCAAAAGGGGAAAAAGAGGTGGCGTGAGGGGGTGGAATGGCGGGAGGAGAAGGGTAGGCGGACGGAAAGTGGTGATGGGGTGTTCGCAAATGTCCGTGGTTGGGAGGTTGGGATTTAAGCGGCTTACAGTCGGTTACCATGGCAACACCCACTGTACAACCACTGAGTGAGACATGAAATTCGAAAGAATGAGAGACCAAGGCGCAAACTGGTCTTCCAATATTTATAGAAAAATTTAACTCTGCGTGACACGTACAGCAGATTATGACGCATTTTTTATTTCTTTGGGGAGGGGATTTTATTACATAGTTGTGATAATAAAATTGAGGATTTATCCGGACTTTTTTCAAGAAGGTGAGAGTAATTCAGCAATTGATTTCTTGACTTGGAAGTGAAAATTAATTTTTTGATGGGTTTGGGTTTTCGGGATTGTCTGTGGCAATTTGATTTGAATTTGGGTACGGGGATTGAAGTCGTAACTGCATTTGAACTGTATTATAGTTTATCGTACACGGAGGGGATTATTTGTTGAATTTCAACAATTACTTGGTGAAATTCACTAACTACTATGTTGAAATTCATCAACTAGTTTGCTGAAAAAATGAATTACCAACTAGTTAGTGAATTTCAACAACTAGTTGTTAAACTTCACTAACTAGTTTATTAAAATTCACCAACTAGTTGTTGAAAAAAATGGATTACTAACTAGGTAGTGTATTTCAACAACTTCACTGAGAGAAAAATCTGAAGTTCGATTTACAATAAGAAAATAGTTGAGGCATTTTGGTGAGCGATACGATTTTTTTTTGTATGCGGCACATAACATTATAGTAACTTCACAAGCGTAATTTTTGCAAATCAAAATGCACACTGATAGAACGGATTGGTTATTGTTAACGAATGAATTTTGGTTAATAGTTAACTAATGTATATTTGAGGAGCCTTGTTTGACTTGACTTTCGCCATTCAAGTGAACCATTCGTTAACTATTAACGAATATTCATTTGGTCATATTCAACTCTACCATTCGTTAATAGTTAACGAATCTCGTTTGGAATAAATGAATCATTCTATCAGTGCAGTTAAACTAACCAAAGTACAAAAGTAACCATGACAAATCTATCGTGAGGAGAACTATAAAATAGTTGCAATGACTACATTCCATTGTAGTAATTACTTCTCCGGCCATAGTTACCGTAACCCATGAAAAATTGTTGAGGACTTTTTGACTATAATTCAATGGTGATGGAATATAGTTAGAAGAATTATATTTTTCTCCCAGTGTTGTTGGTGAAT